GGGATGCAGTGAATACTAGATAAGCATCACTATGACTGTAGGGCAGTTGTGTTGTGAGCTGTAATTGGCTATTCTAGAACTCAACTGATGAAGACCTGATTGACTGAGAGTTTTTATATTGTAACTGTGGCAACAGAATCATGTGGTTAAGTATATGGGTGAGTAAACTAAGTGCTTATTATGAATGAGGTTCAGATATAAGTCAGTATGCAAGGTCACTGGGCTTTCTAACACTCTGAATGCAGCAACTAAACAGCATAATAAGGATGCCTGATGTTGACCATTTGAAAACAAATGTCTGGTTTGAGGTGTTTTCCCATGAGCTCTTCCTACTGCGCACATGAATTCTGCAAGATAGGAGCTAGCCGAAGCTTCAGACAGCTGAAGAAATAACACATCATTTTACTCTCAAGGGCAGCAGCTGAATCCCCAAGCGTGGTGGCACAGGTAGCTGTAGGGCAGCTCAAGGGCGAGAAGATACTGATGTCCTGTGTGCAGCCGGAGCTGGGGAATTGATGTGGTGTTTCCACCCAGCAGGCTGTGCAGCACAAGGCGGACACACCTCCAGGCTGTGTATTTACCCAAGATCCCTATCACTGCTAGAGAAAACTGCCCTAGCCACGGCAGGACATGTCCAGTACACTCACCACCAATACAAATAAACAACAGTTGCACTCAGGGATTCTGGGATGTGTTTCAATTGCTGCTGCTGTTTTGTATTTTCCTTTCTATATAATTTTTCCCTTTCTCTTTAACTAAATTTTCTTTCATTTATTAATATTCAATTAGAATATACATATACATACAAACACTACATATCTATGTGTATGTATATAATGTACATATACAAGTACTGCATTTATTTGATCAAAATATTGTAAAAACAGTAATATAATGAAATATTATTATTAAATTATTATTAAACTATTTTAAAATGTAATTTATTCCTGTGATGCAAAGCTGAATTTTCAGCATCATTACTTCAGTCTTGAGTGTCACATGATTCTTCAGAGATCATTCTAATATGCAGATTTGATGCTCAAGAAACATTTCTTATTATTATCAATGGTGAAAACAGATGAGCTGCTTAATTTTTTATAGAAAATCTGTTTTCAGGATCATTTGATGAGCAGAAAGCTCAAAAGAACAGCATTTATTTGGAAAATACATATTTTGTTACATTATAAATATCTTTACTGTCACTTTTGACTCATTTAATGCATTCTTTCTAAAAGTATAAAAGTATTAATTTATTAAAAAAAACCTTATCATAAACTTTTGAATGGTATATATACACATTTACACTTTTTTTTAACCTGTTAACAAAATGTGTGCTATGCATCAGAGCATGTGCGTTACTGACAAATATATATGTTTATAATTGAAAAAAATCTTTATATAACACCAAATCATTAAGTCATAAACAAACACACTTACTTCTTCAAATTCATCAAAATTCAGTCAAAAATAATATCTCTTTGTCTTTGTCATTGAACACGCACACATCCACACACACACTCCCACACATTTTCACACGCATCCTCTGAATATAATGAGATCTTGTTAATGCCATGGCAACTGCAAGCTTTCACACGCCAACGGGGAAGCTTCAGACAGCTGAAGAAATAACACATCATTTTACTCTCAAGGGCAGCAGCTGAATCCCCAAGCGTGGTGGCACAGGTAGCTGTAGGGCAGCTCAAGGGCGAGAAGATACTGAAGTCCTGTGTGCAGCAGGAGCTGGGGAATTGATGTGGTGTTTCCACCCAGCAGGCTGTGCAGCACAAGGCGGACACACCTCCAGGCTGTGTATTTACCCAAGATCCCTATCACTGCTAGAGAAAACTGCCCTAGCCACGGCAGGACATGTCCAGTACACTCACCACCAATACAAATAAACAACAGTTGCACTCAGGGATTCTGGGATGTGTTTCAATTGCTGCTGCTGTTTTGTATTTTCCTTTCTATATAATTTTTCCCTTTCTCTTTAACTAAATTTTCTTTCATTTATTAATATTCAATTAGAATATACATATACATACAAACACTATATATCTATGTGTATGTATATAATGTACATATACAAGTACTGCATTTATTTGATCAAAATATTGTAAAAACAGTAATATAATGAAATATTATTATTAAATTATTATTAAACTATTTTAAAATGTAATTTATTCCTGTGATGCAAAGCTGAATTTTCAGCATCATTACTTCAGTCTTGAGTGTCACATGATTCTTCAGAGATCATTCTAATATGCAGATTTGATGCTCAAGAAACATTTCTTATTATTATCAATGGTGAAAACAGATGAGCTGCTTAATTTTTTATAGAAAATCTGTTTTCAGGATCATTTGATGAGCAGAAAGCTCAAAAGAACAGCATTTATTTGGAAAATACATATTTTGTTACATTATAAATATCTTTACTGTCACTTTTGACTCATTTAATGCATTCTTTCTAAAAGTATAAAAGTATTAATTTATTAAAAAAAACCTTATCATAAACTTTTGAATGGTATATATACACATTTACACTTTTTTTTAACCTGTTAACAAAATGTGTGCTATGCATCAGAGCATGTGCGTTACTGACAAATATATATGTTTATAATTGAAAAAAATCTTTATATAACACCAAATCATTAAGTCATAAACAAACACACTTACTTCTTCAAATTCATCAAAATTCAGTCAAAAATAATATCTCTTTGTCTTTGTCATTGAACACGCACACATCCACACACACACTCCCACACATTTTCACACGCATCCTCTGAATATAATGAGATCTTGTTAATGCCATGGCAACTGCAAGCTTTCACACGCCAACGGGTCTCATCATTATTGCTTGTTTATGATTAAAAAAACCTGCGACCTGCCGTTGTTATAGTGTTCATCACTGTCTCCGTTCGTACCTCTGTGCAGCGTTAGCCAGGTTGCTATGAAGCTCTCACACTATCAGATCACACTCAACGGATTGTGTCATCACTTCCTCCGTAAATCGGGAGGTGTGGGGCCTCTGTTCGTGATAAAGCGTTCACTGATATCTCTCAGCATCGGGTGTCCACACTGAGTGAGTTTAGCTTGTCATCCGTCTGGTGGATCTCATTAAGGACTTGCTTTTGTGTTTCAGCCCCTCAGAAGCAACTGCCACTCCTCTGTAGACCTGAACCCACCAACTGCAAACTACTAACTACTCATTTCCGACCAATGCCTTCCTCCAGCTTCATGACAGCTGCTCTGCACGGCTGTCCCAGTGCACTACTGTGGGGAGCTAAGAGGAAAGACCATCACACATGTTGTGTTAGTAACCCCAGTAACCCCCCACCCCCCCACCCCCAGCCGACCTCAGGGGAGGGTGGATTGGGAGTCAATTAAAGAGGCATTCCCGGAATGCTTTCAGAAGGTTGAAAAAGGAACAAGGGCTGTCTCCACGCTGTTTATTTTGCCCGCCAGCAGCCGCCTTGATCTGAATTTGTGCCGGTGCGTGTCGACCAGGCTCCGTGAAGGAGAGAGAAATCGTACAGTGTAAGAAGGCACCAGAGGTCAGCTACAGTAAATCTGGCTGCTCAGAGGGCATTCATACATGCAGTAGCGACAAAACAACCCAAAGTGATTTAACTGCAAAAATTGTATTTTTTAGCAGCAAAAAAATAAATAAAAAATAGCAAAATAGTATAATCAAATAATCAAAACAGAATAAATTTCAAAGTTATGGCCAGTTGCACAGATCACCAATAACATCAGGGCATCTTACATTTGGAGCGATCAGAGTTTAGAATTGAAGAATTGTTCCTTTTTAATTTGTAAATTATAAGTGGTCACACCCTACAGGAAGTTTAATTGGAGTTTGAATTAAAACAAAATTTAAAAATGTAAAAATGTAATTGCAGGAAATGCATTATGTAAAAACAAAATGTTCCTTCACCCTAGAAGAAATATATAAACTACATATTTTTCTATAGACTTTTCAAAATTGTAATACAATATCAATTGACAATTGACATCCATCTACCAATCCATCTATCCACCCATCTTCCATTTATCTACCCCTTTATTTATCCATCCACTCATCCATCCAAACTTCAAGGTTTACTTTCTTACTTTTTACTGCTTTTCTCTCAAAATTTTCAAATGAGACTCGAGGAAAAATGTAAAGGATATCTAGATAAACTTTGCTTTTGTTGTTAAAAATTACAGTTACATGAATTTCAATTCATTTTAATTTGACTTCCTTACATTCACATTCAAATTGCAAGTATGCATCCTGTTTGCTACCTCAATTCGAATTCAATTCAAATGAAAGAACTCAACTGCATTTTGAAAGGCATTCTGAATTCAATTCTGAATGATGCATAACCTTGCTATGACCTCCAGCGATAAAATCACTCCAGAGGAAAGGAGCTTATGGTGACCACTACATTTGATCCAATAACCAATCACAGCTTTTCCCTCCAACTCATAAAAGCCATTTGGAACTTGTCATAAATGGTAATCCTGTCTTCCTGCTTCTGAATTCCCCAATCAGAGCCTTTCCCTCCAGTTTACAAAAGCGAATCAACACTTCTACACCACAAGTAATAAAAATGGTGGGCTGTCAATGACACCACACTGACCAATAGGGACTCTTCCCTCCGACTGACAAAAGCCAATCAGCACTTCTCAGGCAGGTGGGATTTGACACATAGCAGCCCATGCTGCAAGAAGTGGTGGGTAGTTAAAGGAAGAGGTGAGGTACGTGTTTCCTGTGTGAAAGGAAGAATTTGTGATACGTGCTAAGAGAGACAGTTGCATCGACACAGAAATCCTGCTTTCTTTACAGGCTCAATGGACCCACATGAACTCTCCCCACAGTGTAAATGCTTTGTTAGTACAAGCACTTGAACAGAAGACTCTTGCTTTAAGCACACAGGAGAGATGCGTAAACAGCAGGCGAGGCTTTTACACTGCATTGTTTATGATAAACTACATCCTGCTGGGTAGCATACGCTTACCTGTCTTATAGATTTCATAGCGCAGCGAAAACCCTGCCCCCTGGTGGGCATAGTCGGAGACGAATTTGATGAGCAAAACGGGGCCTGAGGAGATGATCGCAGGGGGTGCGATGTTGCTGCAGTGTCTCCCCAACAGATCAGCGTTCTCTGAGTTCCCATCCCGGATCTCAATGAAGTCATACCTATGGAGAAGACCAAACACAGGGACGTTTATACAAGAGGTCAAGGGCATTAGGCAACCATCAAATCGTTCCCATGTTCCCCAAGCTGTGTGACTCTCTAAATGGGAATAGGTACCAGATTGTGTGCTAAAAACACTGTCAGATTCGATAATTCTTTTCATGTTATGGCCAGTAATTGATAAATGAAAAATTGACTTTTACATTTAAGATTACAGTGTTTGTAAGTGTTTGTAAATTATTTTATAGCTTTAAGTGATGACAAAGGCAATATAAATATAATAGAGAAAATGGGCATGTATAATTAATTAAATATATATACCCAACATAAACTGATGCCAATAAATAAATAAATAAAACTCTTAATATTGGTAGCAACATTTTGTGCATACCAAATTTGAAGGCAGTCCATCATAATAGTTCCTCACAGAAAGGAATTAAAAGATTTTTTCATCACTGTGAACATAACCGATAGAGCAGATTCACAACATAATGTGTTAAAGGTCTGTCTGTTCTCCTAACTCTACATAATGAGTTTGATCTTTTCTTGTTTTGTTTTTTCCCCTCTTAAGTCTCAAGATACAAACAGCCTTGCCAGAAGAAATTACAATGGGATTGTGGTTAAAAGGTGTTTGATCTCAATTAACTATGAAACTATGTCAATTATACACGCCTAACAAGCTCTGCCTGGTTACTAAATAGATTTTTCCTCTGAAAAGATTAAAAAAATTGACCTGCTGGCAGGTAAATTAAAAACAGCTAGACAATGAGAAAAAGAGAGAAATAAAAAGACCAAGGCCAATAAAAGGTGTATTATCTCTCTTTTGAAAATGTGAATCAGAGAGTTTCTTTTTAAAATAACACATCAGACAGAAGTGATTCTGAGTCCAGCTGGCAGGCAGTAAGGGTAAAAAGCGCTGCTACTTAGCACAGTGCTGTCATGTTAATAAGGCTGAGGTTTATGTAGCTGTACTAGCAGAAGAGCGTGACTCCACACAGCAAGCTGTGCCTCATTTAACCACCAAATCAGCAAGCCTGTGGACCCTCCGAACATCTGTACACTTCAGCGCTAGAGAGTCATTGTCTAAAACACTGCTCCAACTCAAGAGACAAGTGCACAGACAGAGAAATCAATGAGCCTTGAGTTGAAGAATCTATGCTTTCTCTCCTCTGACATATTTATTCAGCATATTCCTAGAGGACAAATGCATTGCTCTGTAATATAGTTTGGGAGACTTAATGGAGTTCCTAGTTATGATTCACTGACTGAAGTCTCATAGGTTTCTCCTAAAATTGATTAAAAGGCATAAAAACAGACACAAATGAGACATAAAATAATGTGGTCAAAAAGTGGGTATCCTTGTTTGCTTGCTGAATGATTGTCAAACATTTTAGGGTGATAAAGTCTTTTTTTCTTTCATATTTGTTCATATACTCTAAAGTTTTGTGGTTGATAAGACTTTTTAATATTTTTGAAAGAAGTCTCTTATTCTCACCAATGTAGCATTTACTTTACCAAAAATACAGTAAACAGTATTGTGAAATATCACAACAATTTAAAATAACTGTTTTCTATTTGAATATATTTTATAATGTAATTTGTTCTGTGATGGTAAAGCTGATTTGTTTTTTTGTTGATCAAACAGTGATGCATTTGTTAAGAATAGAAAGTTTAAAAAAACAGCATGTTCTTCCATGAAGTGGAATTGACTGAATTCAACAGGCTGGGAAATGAAGCGTTCTTCCATCCTGGTGCATAATTTACATATCAATTCCTTAAATGGATCAAATTCATATTTCTACAGCCTGCAGAGCCTACAAACTGAAAGAATTAAACTTCTTTAAACTTTCAGCATTCAAAGTTTGTCTTGAGCACACTAACATCTTAATTCCTTCAACCCTGTCTGTTTGTCTTGTATTTGTCAGGTTCTGGGATTCACAGATTCTGTAAGAGTAAAGAAGGATATCTCAGGCGCCGAAGGCACCAGACACCCTCTGATCAAACATTTGTATAGCCCTCCTCAGTGCCTTTGAAAACATCCCACCTCAACCCGCACTTCTGTCTCTTTCCTCAAAATGACAGGACACTCTGTGATAAAGGATGAAAACATGACAGCCAGAGAGATGAAAGTACAGAATAACCATCTGACAGACGCCAGCAGCTGTCTTTAACCAGCCTTAAACACACACAAACACTCTCAAATCAACTCTCATACAAACACACTATTCTGTTCTCTTTTGAACTTTTAGATGCTTTTCATTTCAAATCAGTACAGAGTTAAATGTTACTCTCACGTTTTCTGATTCATCACAGTCACCACTGAACTAAGACATAAACCCTTCTACAAAAACAGCATTCACCTAACACTAAGAACACATGCTGTGTGAGACCATTACAGTCACATGGCCAGCAAACAACAACACAAACACGGGCTTGTATTTTTTGTGGATGTGTGGGTAATTCGATTTTCATGGATTTTATTACTGAATGCTGTTTCTATGGTGAATCTGTTTGGGGTAAGAATGCTGGCATTGTTGATCGACCCCCAAAAATGTGATCATTCTATGTAAACCCCACAGATTTTTGGGACAAAGACTGATTCTGTTGTACATTTTTCTACTTGTTTTTCTTCCTTGTTTTCACTCTTACTTTACACCAGCAAATTAGGGTAAACACAGGTTTTGGCACCCTGAGCTTGTGTATGTGTGTGTGTTTGACTTGACCACAGCAGAGTAAGTATTTGCAGATGTACCCATCCTCCACCACCAGAGCCGCATGTTAATTGCCTTTCACGCGTTGTATCTATGAGCCAGGACACTTTTTCACACCTGCACAAACCTATCAAGCATCAGACGTCCCCTGCAGATCCAGGCATCTAACACAAATGCACACATTTTAGTTGACACAATGTTGAGACTATTTTGTGTCTGACAACAACATACTGCAAATGAGTGTCAGATATTGAGTTATTATTAAAAGTGAAGGTCATTTTTTGCACCAATAGTGTTTTTTTCTTTATTAGTGGATCACCTAGGCAGGACACCTTGAACAAAACCTCAAACAATTCTGGTTCTTTATTACAAAAATCAAATCAACATTACATACAAAAGTAGGTTTAAACAATTCAAATATATCCTAATGTACAGTGTGGAAAAATAATATTCATTTTGAACTTCTTACAAATGACATTTTTACTGCTGTTTCTTCTTAGTTACTACTGTTTCTTCTTTAAAAATTCTATAGCCTAATAATATGGTACTACTATATTGTAAGCTAAATATAAATTCTAAAATGCAATTAACTATGAAAGGGATGATAAAATATTTCTAATATAGCTTTGTTATTGATATCACAAAATGTGTGCCCAATCAAACTCTATGGTATTTTGCTACAAGTTCATTTGTGACTTGGAAGCTAATCAAACTAGACAGATGCCAACATGGCTAGGTTGTGTGATGCATTCTCATCCTTTAAAAATGTGGGGAAAAAAGACTAAATTAAAACACAATCCAAACTACATCCAATAAGAGTGGCATGTTGTATTGTGTTGAGTCCTCATTTGATATTCAGAGCAAATCTGGGACTTAATGGGCAAAACTAGTTATAAAACCATAAATTCTCTGCTAGAGCATGTTTTAAATAATTGGCTTGATAGATTAAACAATGCTCCACTGGATTTTATTTGGATTTTCATGTAATCACTTTTCATAAAAAAACACTTCATACAGTATTAGCCATTCAACTACACTAACTTGTACATATACTTGACAGCTACAGGTCAGCAACCTTTTCTAAACCCACAATGACACCTAGAATAAAATATATTCAAAAGATATCATGTGTGTACATTTTGACAATGAATTTTAAAATAGATGAATACATTCAGATGTACTGCAGGTGAAAGACTCACCCCTTTGATTGAAAGTAAATAATCACAGGCTTTGCCTAAAAACCTCAATCTTACCCAGTGGAAGAATTAAACTACTGAAAGTGCCTCTAAAATATTAACTGCTTGTTCGAGAGCATTCCCAGACCGTGCTCAAATCGACCACTTATTTGGTCATAAAACCAGGAAAGGTATGAAGAAAGGAATAGAGGTAGAGTTGTTACTGCAATCTGAAATATCAGAGAGCAATCTGGAATGAAGGCTACTGAACCTAATAAAGAATTAACATCTTCTGTTATATACCCAGTTATAATTGACCACTTTATAATGCTGTTTTATGCTGTCATTCTCATATCTGCCCTGTAAGTGTATAGCAAGCCAATAATGGTCATAACAGATATGCCTGTACTCTGAGAATGATGTGATATGTGTGGGAGACCTGCGTGACCCCCTTGAGTCCTGTCCGGCTTCACACCATCCATCGATTTTTCATTACAAGCGGAAAACTCGCATTGATCAGAAGGACCCCTGGGGAGCTGCATGGAGTGATGATATCATCCGCTACTGTTAGCCTCATCGAGAGGAAATCTAGATATAAATCTACGGATAAAGCCCCACGCCAAGAGACAGTGGGGGAAACTGCTGTGTAAAATTGTTCCTTTCATAGACGTTCAACGTCAGTCATGAGCAACTAAGAGGCTAGTCTGTACACACAGGGCTAGCGTACTGTAGTATCACTACCGTCCCCTGTGAGGTTACTACAGAAACAAAGGCAGCTGTCTCCGCTCCCCAGCTGGAGACGGTGGGGTGTCCCGGGGTCTGTGATCACGGCTCTGCATGTGGCTGGAGTTGAGAGGTCTAAAAATGCTCTCGGGCGATCATCAGTTCGGATATCTCTCATCACAGAAGACAATACAGAGATGTCACCAAACACGAGGCCTCGGCTCCCCTTGTTGTATGTAGTAAGAGTGTGAAGTGTGCCACTGTAAATGTACTCTGAAACACTTGTGTAGTGTAATACAGTGGGTTTGTTAAAAAAAAAAAAAAAATTAATAAATAAAAAATAATAACAAAATCAAGAAATTAATGCATCAATATTATAATTTCTAGCTGATATGATTGTTTTACTATTATTGTATGTATATGTAACTGATAAATGGCAGATTTATAAAATAAAAAATACAACACAACTAAAACCAAAAAATTGAATATATACAGTATATATATATATATATATATATATATAAAACATGTCAAATGTTGATTCCACAGTCTGGAAGCCTCGGGAATGTTATCACTGAATTAATAAAATCCCCGGGATGCAGGAGAACAGAACATACATTCCTTGTGTATTAATATGGTGATTAGATAATGTCAAAAACTGGAATACTGTGCCAGAGGGAGGAAAAGAAAGTGTAAAGAGTGGGGAAGGAGAAAAACAGATAACGATGAAAGAGGGATAGAGTAAGAGAGTGGTAAAGGAGAGAGAGAGAACCATGACTTCAACCTGCCCAACCCTGTTTCTTTACACATGTCATTCAGTTGAGCAGCTTTGCTGATTGCATTACAGATATATCATGATAAATCAACACATGCTTATTATATTTATTCCACAATAACCTATTTATAACTTTTAGGAGCGGGACACATCTGATGCTGTGCCAAGAAGTCGTGGAACAATCCGGTGAATTCGAATGAAGCATGTGAAACCGGTGTCTATTGTGTAAGCACTGAGCTGGACCTGTAAACTTTGATAGATTTACTTTTTTTTTATTTTGCATTGCATTGCATCTGGTCATTGTCATCCAACTGATATGCCAGAGTGCTCTGGATTTTATCACACTCTCTGGCAACAGGAGAATAAATGGTGCACTTCTTTCCTCTCATCTTTTTCTACTCATCCTTTTCTTGACCTAATGGCTGTGTTCCAAAACAATTTAAAGATGAGCTACAGACACAAAGTCTGTTCCAAAAGGTAGGCAGGATAATTAGTGCACTTATGATGCTGACTACAGTCAGCTCACTTTATCTCAGAAAACAATTGTACTGTCCTCTAAAATATCTTCTTTTGGCCAAATTCCTAGGTATCACTGCATGTATCCATAACAGAAAAGGCACTGCGATAATAATTAATATCTATCTATTATATCTAAAATATGTCTAAAATACATTTAATACAATAAGAATAATTTAATAAGTAATAAATATAATACACAATACAACAACAACTTTTGTTAAAGTTACAAAGTCTTAAAAGCATTGATGATAATAAATCCGTTTTTATTGTATATTGTGTGCTCTTTATTGCAATGCTTATTAGAGTATCACAATGTTGGCTTAGCAACATGCTAACTTCAGATTCTACTAAAATCAGTTGTGAGTTGAGTGCCCCATGCTACTCTAAACACTGGATGCCTGTCGAGGTTTTGGAAAGAGGTACTGCCTCCAAAGTGGCATCCTTTGCTTTAGTAACAACTGTTTGAGAGCCCACCGTCTCTGCAGAGCACTGGAAAATCTGTGGAGGAAGTGTTTGCAGTGACAGTGGTTGTGGACTGGACTATCAACACTGTTTACTTCATCTATGTGTGATGAGAGAGAGAGCTGAATAGGGAATGTGGAATAAAGCAATGCTGAGAATGGGCCGTGCCTTGGGAGATGAGTCATTTTAATCAGACACTATGTATGGGGGGGAAAGAAAGAGGGAACAAGTGAGCGGGAAATGGAAGGAGAGAGAAACCAACATCAGTGGATCTCATTGTGTTTTGCATGTACCAGGATTTTTAACTAGACTAACCAGTCCTCAGTCAACTAGCTTTACTAGAAAAACAATGTTTGTAAACCAACTTCGAGCCAACCAATGGTTATACTGATCAACCAGCACCAAACTAGCCTAGACCAGTATGGAAATTCATATAAGAGCTGCCTTTTGAAATGGGTGGAGGAGGAGTGAGAATTACAGACCAAGGAGGAAAGAATGGATGAAAAAGGAAGGTTATGACAGAGTTGAAGGAGAAATGGGTTGAAAGATGAAACATAAGGGTGTGGTAGCAGATGAGCAGACTAAACTTCATGAGGTCAAAGGGGAAACCTTGTAGCACAGCCAGGTTTCAGCATGTGTGCATATAAACATCTGTCAGTTAGGACTGAGATGCCTGGATATGATCCCTGAGCTGCATAATCATATCTGACAGGGAAAACGCTTTAGGTTAAATAAATTAAGCCAGGTTTGTGTCCAATGGAAAGATACTGAGCTGTTACTCAGTATCAACATAGATCAAATTAATAGCCTTCCCAAAGTGTCTATACCACAATATGTGTGAAGGGTGAGAGCTTATGATACATACAGCACTAATACTGCACCCACCCATAATAAGAGCTGTTATTAAATGTTATTCTCATCAGAAATTATCAAATGTTAAAATGTTCAAGTCTGTTTCACTCCACCCTGCCCTGCGTCTGTAAGTCTCGACAACACCATTAAACGATCTGTCCGCTTCACAAATATGTGAGCTGCATGACAGTTTTGTCTTGCAAAGCTAAGGCAAGAATCATAGGTGGCTGTTTAAGCATGTTAATGGATAGATAATTTTACGACTTATTAAAGAAGTGCTTGTGTTTACTAGGCATTTACAACTCCCCAACAGAACTCAAAAGTCCCAACTTTGTCCTTAATTCATCTGCCTGGCCAAGGGACAAAAACAATAATCGCTAGAAAAAAAACCAGCAGGGAACAAGTCGGGGAGTTTAGAGAAACAAAAGAGCTAGGGTGATGATTTTAACCGAGAAGAGTCTGGCTTTAAGTTAAACAGAAGGGACTGATGTATAATTTGTGAATTTATGAGGCCTACAGATCAGGCTTAACATTTGATTTCACCATCTTTGTGTACTACACTGAAATCATAGGCTGTAAATAACAATACTTAACCTTTATGTGGTTTAAATGGTCACAGGGCTTCAAAGAGAGATAGAGAGGTAGAGAACAGGGCCAGGATGATGATCAGCTTAAAATAACACTTTACAAGAACTTGTAAAAACAAGTAAAAAAATATAAATTTTCAATATATTTTAGATATTTAAATATAATTAAATAAAACAATTTATTTAATAAATTAATATGTATTTAATAAAAAAAAAAATTAACAATATATATGTTATAAATTAATATTATATTTAATTGCATTAAATATTATAACATATTTTAAACACATATATAATCAAAATATAATCATTTATGTTTCTATTTCTATTTATAAAATGTATTTTTTTTATAATTTAAACATTAACATAGATTAATGCACATTATAAAAATGTTAGTTCATGATAACTAACATATAACCAACATAGCAATCACACTGCAACACGCTATAAACGAGTACCTTAGCAACCACATAACGACAGCCTGGTAACCACCCACAACACCCTAGCATCGTCGTGGCTACTTTGGCACACACAAACAGCACTCACATTGTTTTCAAAAGACATAAAATCTTGACTGAACATTTGTAGCGGCGCAGCAGATGGGAGCGAAGACGGAAGGTTAAAAAAAGAGACATCTGTTTTAAGTCTTAGAACTGGTTGTGTTAACCTGAGAACTACTGGGAAACTGTCCACTTTTCTCTTTTCCAAATGTAGCAATGTGTCTGATTCAATATGGAGTTCTGTATACTAATGGACACGCAAAGAAATCCCCTGCGGGGGTTGGAAAGCACGGAAAAGGATGTGTGATGTAATGGAACGTGTCGCATCTTCTGTCAATCAAGCCAAGGGTGGAGGGAGAAAGAGAGACGAAAATAACAACAGTACTATCCCGTGCACAAACCACTAAGGGGTAAGCAAAGTGCTGAAATGAAACACATATCAGACTTTCCTGTCTCTGTCTTTTGATCTCTCTCTCTCTCTGTTGCTGTGCTCACTGGAAGTGCTCAGTGAAGACACTTTCAACAAAAGCTTCTGAAAAATGAATGCTCCAATTTCAACAAAGGAATGTCAAAAGCCATCCCATAAATCTCTCTTTAAAAACACTTCTATGTATAATTAATAGTTCCAAAATGTTAATAAATACCAAAAGGACAAAGGGCAATATTCAGTGAGAAGAGTGAGAGAGCTGGAAGTGGCAGGTTGTGACAGGCTTTGTGGCTCTGCCGAGAAGGGTTTGTAAAACATGACTCATGAATGTCAAAGTCTTCACTAGCGACCGCTAATTCCCCTCGAATTCGTCCCACTTTACGAATCATGCATTAAAACAAATACAGTGAAACTCCATGTACCGTTATAATCCTGACCACGTTCCATGCATTACTACTGCTGTCCAATAAAGGGAGGAGTCAGCGCAGCTGCAGGTGAAACACATGCAGAGCTCAAGCCTGCACGTTTTCATGATTCACAGAAATGTGTGTCAATGCTTTGTTTATTGGATATTTAATTAAAGTGAAGAGAGTGTGTGTAATGTGTGTGTGTAAGAGCCAGACTCAGCAGGGCATCACAGGAAGGCTCCAATAATCACTAGGCAAGAAACATCAGCAGTCTTTTCCGAAACAACTCATTTTTTAAAGCAGCATATTAAGCAGCAGAATTAATAAAATACTATTCATTATATAAAAGAAAGTTAACAAGATTGCCTTGTCGCCTTTTGGGTGTATGAAATACAGACTTGTACTCTTTATTTCCGTTTCTTCCTCATCATATGGTTATGAATATATAGTTTCTTTCTACATAGATCTTCTTAATCAATCTTCAGCTACATGTAGCCTCAGAACCTTTTCTGCTTACCTGCAGTCCAGTTTCTCCAGCTCAAAGTGCGGGTTGAAGTTTAGGACGATACGCTGGGATGGTTCGGGCACCGTGATTACCCATCGACAGTTCTGGTGGGGCGGGTACTCCAGCGGGTAACCGGGTGTGGTGATGTATCCTGCGTCACTGGCATCCAAATGCCCACCACATGGCTCTGTGAAGATGAGAGGTGAAATATGATTCAGCTTCACTCAAATTATTCAACTGCTCTCTGAAAATGTGTCTGATCACATCATATAACCTAGTGTATATTAACTGAATCATATTAAATATAATTTTGGACTTCAAACCAGTTGATTTAGATGCTACTCAATGGCCATTTTTCAGCTGATTGAAGTGATTCGGTACACATGAATCAATATGACACAAACGATTCTAATTGAGTGAAAGGAAAAAGCTGACCTCTGCTAGTCAAAAAGTGAAGCAGTTATGACTTCACAACTAAAGGCTTTTGTTCTGTGTCCCGATGTTTAATACGAATCAACACAAACTGGGAAATCAAAGAATCTGCTGTGTCCAGTGTCAAACGCGCTTGTCCCAGCTGTCATCTGGTATACAACTATATCACTGACAAGCAATCTGCAAACATTAGGACACAATCTTCAACAGTATCTTCAGAATAAAAACCACTCTATCACACATGACAAGCTATTCAGTGACAGGAAGTGTGTCTGAATGAGGTCAAAGGTCAGCCCAATGCTGCAAGGAGTGCAGTGATCATTCACAAAGATGCCTTTCTGTGTGGAAAGCGCAGAGATAGTGCACTCATTCTCTTTCTCCCCTGCCTGTGTTTACCATTCTCTTCCCGAACAAGCCCTCGGCTCCCACAGCTCAAATAATTGATATGGCTCTCATTCATTATTGCTCTGATCATAGTATTGAGGCACAGCTGTTTAACCTCGGCTAGAGCGCAACAATGTCAGACGCACCGAACACACATGTTTGAGGAGAGGCAGTGTATGAATGTTTTAAGGTGTGGAGGCACTGAATGATTCACGATGGCTTTAGGAACTTGCCTAAAGAAGATATTTTGAAGAATGTTTCTTGAACTGTTCTTGATGATACAAAGAAAGTCACTGGGGTCCAATGATGTTTTGGATAAAAGCATTTGAAACATTCTTCAGAATACCTTCTTTGGTTTCTGCAGACATCAGAAAGTCATACAGGCTTGAAACGACATGTGGTTAAGTAAACGATAAAAAAAAAAAATCAGGGTGAACTGTTCCTTTAAAAATAAAACTTCCTTTAAACCGAGAGCACTACAATCAAAATGGCAGTTGAAAGCAGTGTCACCCAAATGTGTAGAACTCAGCAGATCACAGGCGTTCCAATTCTGTGGAATTCTGTGGCGGCCGGATTCCGTGTGGTCCTGCTCGTCGTACACCAGCAGTGGCCCAGCAAGGATGGACATACAGCACACACTTTGCTGCAGTTACCTGAAATTCACAACAAATACACCGCAACCAACATGCACAGAGCTGATGTTCTAGCGTCACACATAGTGGCCCAGTAGGGACGCTGGGAAGGAGTTCAGAGGAAGTGAGAGCTTTGATTGACAGTTTGAGGTCTGTGGCTGGTTTCCACAGCGTTTTCTGTGAACAATTACAACTCATCTGTATGGCACACTTGATCTCTCACACTCAGTCACCGACTTTCTCACAGTCGGAAAACAAGATTGATGTGGCAGGATGCGACCTCTTCATACCTTCCAGATTTACACTGCTTTCAAAGGACGCTGCAACTAAACCAGGCAAAATGCAACCTAATTCTGAAACCAGCAGACCACTCACCTTTGCTCTACCACGGTGCCTCATCAAATATTGAATAGGGTTATGAAATCAGGTGATTGCAACACAACGGAATTTCAGGTGGTGACATTTGGAAAGTTATGATGACAATGGCGGTGTACAGTGCTGAACTGGATTTAAAACCAAAATAAAACAAAACTTCAGGAAATAACAATAAATATTTTTTTCTTGCACCACCAATCATGAAAAAATAACGCATCTTGCCTCAAAAGGTACCAAATAGCCAAACAACAGCTGAATTTAATAATTTTCTTGCATGTGCAATGTTTTATATTAGAGATTGGTCCAAACTAAACTAGATGTCTGACAGACCAATTTATCTAGACTACTTTTTTTTTTAAATATTACAATATTTTTATTTTTATTTATATGATTACATTTAGCATAAATATTTTATTTTTTTTAAACAGAAAATATTCTTAAAGTTTTATAAAAAAAAATTTCACCATTTTTTTTAATGGTGGTGCTTGATATTTTAATATTTTTTATATTTGATAGATTTATATTTTCAATGGTGTTGTGCTTTAGCTGTTAAACCTAAACCATTTGCATGGAAAAAAAAAAAACATCTCGGAAAAGTCTTTAGATTCTTCCTTTCTAAAGCACCACTGCTACAGACACACACATGCAGATGGGCGTCTTTGTCAGTTGCATCAGATCTCATGCTGTTTCTGAGTGTCCCATCACTAGCACTGCATTTTTAAGATGGCATGTCAAATTAAAAATAGCCCAAGTTTTAAAACGCATCTTGAGACCCCTGTTCTGTTCCATGCTGCTACGCTCCATCCAGCTATTTTCCAACACAACAGTGTCTTTTCGTAAATGCATCTCATCAACCTGAAACATCCTGACTAGTCATTCAGGCAACCCGTTGACTAGTTGAATTTGGAAATATGTAGTTTTACACTAAACACAGTCCTGTAGGTTGCATCTGAACAATCCCAGCATCATCACTTTCTCATATGTTCAAGGTCGATTTGTTTATGTATGTGTGTGCTTGCAGAAAGGAGGGTCGACAGGCTGATGGGGCTCATTAGGAGGTGTTCTTCCTCCCTAAGCTCTGGGACTCAACAGAACCGGTCTGACAGTGCAGAGATTCATTTCCGCTCTGAGCAGAGAGAGCGACAGATACTGCAGTAGTGTTATGTTGCTGTGTGTGGTGGCCTCATTAATTATTGTGTCTGGACTAAAGGAGTCTATCTATCTACAGTCTCTGCCACATGCTATCACAGCAGTATGCAACCCTGGCGAATGGGCCAGAGTCAACACCCAGTGTGTGTGTGTGTGTGTGTGTGTGTGTGTGTGTGTGATTGACTTTGGCTGTGTTTTCCATTCTTGTGGATGATTTGCTGTGTACCAAGTACAGATGAAAGTTGTGTTGGGGAATGGAAATGTTATTTATGCTTAAAATATAAAACACGATTTTGTTCCCTGAACTTTTTAAAGGTGCACAACCAGGGCCGTTTCTAGCCAATTTGACAGCCTGCGCGAAATCCCTATTGCCCCCCCCCCTCCCCCGGATCCAGTGGGGGCGGCAGTCATATTTCAGGGTGACCGTGCCACTCTTTATCACAACCCTGCTAAAAGTGCCAGTACGTGCGCTCATTGGCGCCCCTTCAGCTGGTGGCGCCCTAGAGGACCGCCTAGCTCGCCTATGCCTAGAAACGGCCCTGTGCACAACTAAAAAGCTTTAAGAAAGCATACAGAAATGAACGGTTCTTGTGTTTAAAATCATGTCCACTCACATGAGATTAATAATAAAAGCTAATAATAGCTTTTTTAATTTTACATGGAACAGATCGCCTTAAGGGCCACACATTTTGAGATCACAATGTAATCTCCAATAATTAAACATTTAAAAAATATTTTAAAATAACAAAAATGAATAATGTACATACAGTGCATTTCTAAAATGGCATCAACAATGCACTAATCCTACATCCACAACACTAGATGTCAGTTTAAGTCAAATGCAACTGCCTTACCAGCGAGTGCAACAAAACAAATTACTGTGCGCAACTGTAAAATTACCTATATTAATTGGATCAATAAATGATAAACTGCCCAAAGTTGTGCTCACTGTGTCAGCACACCAAAATACATCACACTGTTCAATAGGAACTGAATCTACAAATAGATCTCAAAAATTTCTAAAATGCCATCAACTAAAAACATGTGCGCAAATTCTACATTCACACCACTATGTGTCAGTGTACAGTAAGTCTAAGACAACAGACTAAGCAGCCAGTGCAACAAACAAACAAAAAATTACTGCGTGCACCTGGAAACTGACCTGTATTATTTGGGTCACTAATTGATAAACTGTTCAGTGTTGGGCTCATAGCATCAGCCTTCCCATACTAGAGCAAAACGTCACACTGTTCAATAGAAACTGAATAGCCTATACTAATAGAGCTCATACGATTCACAAAATCAAATCTTGGCCGAACCAATCAATGGCTTGGGCAAATCAATAGTATCTTCCATCCTCACTTAGCATAAGACTCAGCACACGAATGCTCACTATTCGGCACAACTGTGTTTTGCTGAGTACACACAACAACAGCCACAGATCTCATCCTGTCAGGGCTTCCGGTGTCGGCGCTTTGTCAATTCGCACAACCCTGCTCCTCTCCTCTCTTCAGATACGAGACGTCTCTCCCCGCCTCACTTCCTGCAGGATTGAGGATGCTGCCGGTGGGTAGGCCTGCCGCCGGCCCCCTCGCTTTAGGGCCATAAGTAACTGTAAACGGTGCTGAGCAGGTGGGTGGGGGAACGAGAATGGAGCTTCATTATTTATGGGTTTCTTGCTTGTTTTGAATTTCATCCCAATAGCACTGTTTCAGCACTTTTCCAGCGCCTGCCACACGAGAGTGAGTGAACGAGTGCCGGCACATTTGCTGGCGCGAATACAAATATCTGACCTTCTTTTAGCTGATTTACAGGCGCATTTTCTGCTGAGGGAGTGCTAATTTTACCCATTACACGAGACAGAAAAGAGAAGAAAACAGTGCAGTGAGCAGACATGACAACAAACTGCAGTGATTTAAATAATGGCCATTGTTGGTGGAGATCCGGTGTATTTATCAGTTCAAACTAGGGCTGCACGATTAATCGCATGCGATATTTAACGCTCATCTTATCAGTAAAGCCGGTCTGTAATCAGCGGTGATTATAAATTGCAAAAACTTATGTGAAACTAATTGGCCCATCATTCAAACTGAAGAATTTGTTTCGGTTTAAACTCTGCGGTTCATGGGTCGCTAATCAAAACGCTTTACAGGTGGTGAGGTCACATTTACTTTTGGTCTGCAGAATTTTGAGGGCAAATCAGGTCAATCCAACA